ATTAAGCGTAGGACCATATACCGGGGCTATATGATCACGCATCGACGTTCTTTGACGATCTTGTTCCACCGACCCTTCATGCTCTCCTTTAATGCTAGGTTGAACACATCCTGGACCCCGCGGCCTGTCTTCGCAGAACATTCGATGTATTTCGCGCCGATTTCTTTGGCAATTGCCGCTCCTTGTTGTGACGATATTGTTGTTTGACCTTGTGCACTTAACATGCGTTTGGTTTGGTCGTCGGACCGCAGATCGATCTTTGTGCCAACAAGGATGAGTGGTGTGCCTTGACAAAAATGTGCGACTTCTGGATACCACTACAACAGGGGGACACGCGGTGAGTGTAATCGGAGATACTCAGTCAAACAGGGCCGCTCAAGAATGACTGGTAACGTACTTTATCCTGGACATTCGCAAGACTTGTTGGAAAGTCGATAGAGAACACAATCAGAATGACGTTGCTTTCTGGGTAGCTGAGTGGCCGTAGTCTGTCGTATTCTTCTTGTCCAGCAGTATCCCATAAAGCAAGCTCAATCTCCTTTCCTTCGAAATGGACTTGGGTAACATAGTTCTCGAATACAGTGGGTATATAGGCCTAAGTCTCGGTAGAAGGCGCGTCTTCGTAAGAAACAGCACGATTCCAGCATTCGAAGAACTTCACTCACCTCTGGAAAACGATTCTCTGCGTATACGATCAGCAGACAGGTCTTTCCACAACCACCTATTGAATCAGAAAATAAACCACCGCTCCGAACAGAAAAACTTTGCAGCGCACCATCTCCGACAACGACAAGCTTTCTCTTCATGTCAGGTCTGCGGGCTGGCCCCGAAGATTGGGAAGTTTGAAATGAGGTATCCATGGAGTGACGATAAAGAAGGGCAAGGAGGTGGTGGTTCGTTTAGTCGGTTGGTGCCTTGCAAATTCCAATTTCGTCGTCTCACGTGGCCGTTCTCGTTTACATATGACCTCAACCGTCTTTTGGCCTCAACCGTCTTTTGGCCTCTGGATTGCAAACTTGCTGGTTTTTGCTATGGCTGGACAAGGCCTGCGATATGTGTAGCAGGCGTACTTCACGTACAAGATGTATGGAATTGCCTCCTTTTATCTACACCTTCCTAATGTTTTTTAGGCAGCAGAAGCACAAAGACGTTTGGACGATTTCGCGCAATCTCCGTCAAAAGATTTAGCCAAGGTTCATGACTATGAACTGGTTCTTCTGGGAAGATGTGAGCCAGACAGCTCTATACGTGGCCATAACATATGGATGCCATCTTTGCATTTTGACTGTTTGAAGTCGTAAGTGATAAGTATTGACCTTCATCTCAATGTCCTGTGCCGATGACAGGTCAGCAAATATAACATCGTCTTTTATCATAAGCATGCCCCAAACACGTTGAGATACCACTCGCTAGTCGTCCATACGGTTGATGAGCCCAAGGCTAAAGCAAACCGGCCAGGATACGCACTTGGAGGATTCGCTCATGAAGTTAGACTTGAAAATAACGGAATCAATGACAGAGTAGTTGACCAAGTACGGACCTTCTTTTAGATTTCTCGAGCCATTTTTGACTGACATTATGTCTAGTTCAATGCTGCCGGGTCTATTGATGCTCTGCTCCAACCTCATCGTCCCCCAGCTCGCTCTTTTTTAGCGAGTACAATTCATGACTTATTCCAGAATTTTTTGGGTCTCGTTTACGCCATTGTTTCTTCTATTCTTGGTATCATCGCTCGGACTCTCAACGCAGTATGCAATACACCTATCTTTAGATCCTGGAACGCCAAAACGTCATATCATATTCTTCTGAAGGATGTGTCGGCCACAAGTAAGAACCACGCTCTCACGATGTTTGTACGATCGTTTACAGGATATTAGTCCAACAAATCGACATCCGTGCTGAACAGGCGGGTTTTTTAGTGTCTGAAGCTTCTAGCCTTAAAAAAAGAGGGACGATTCCAACATCCGTTTATTCAATGCATTATACAAAGTAAGAGTCCCGACCCACATTGAGAATTTTTTTCTTACGCACGTTTCCAGTTTCTTCAATAACGTATGGCTGATTCTGAACGACATCACAATTGGATATGCATTCGGTTCATTTTTGTGCGATAATCACGTTGTACTTGCAAATTTCCTCAGCACTGCTGTCGATGTAAGTATTTCGTGTTTCTTTCCAGTTCATATGTTATTGAAAAGGGGCTTGTAGTATATTTTGATAGACTGGATCCAGTGGGTCCTACGATGGCTAGACTCCTGGCCTGCCGGCCTCAAGCTCAATACCGAACTTAGTCGATTCTACTCTCACACATTCGTGGACCTCGTCGCAATGTGGGGAAGTGAGTCGTGTCATGATTTCCTTCGTTCTACCTTGTGATCCTTAATTCTCACTTTGCAGGTGTCCTTCACCGCGGATTCACAATTCTTCCCGTCATCATCTATGTCATCGGAATTCTTAGCTCTTTCGGTGGTGTTATCGGTGGAATGACCATGTCCATATCGCTCTTCTCTGATCTTCTGTCTCTCTCCACGGTCCATATCTACGTGTGTTATGTCATCGCGAACACAGTGTACGGGAGGGTACTTGTCACTGCCGGAAGTTTATGGAACTTGTTTCGGGGTGAGTATTGCGTACCCTTCTGGTGCACACTAACGCTGATTCTACCCCCTCCAGGAAAACGCTATAACGTTTTACGTAAGCGCACGGACTCATGGGAGTACGAGACCGATCAGCTACTTTTTGGCACGATTCTCTTCACACTACTGGCATTTCTATTTCCGACTGTACTGGCGTATTACTCATTGTTTGCTTTGGTCAGTTCTCCCCGATCAATCTTCCCCCGTTATGAAGTTTTACTCAGTGCAACCACCCCCGATAAATAGATGCGGTTGGCGACGATTCTCATTCAAGCAAGTTTGGAAACGCAACTGGCCTTCATGAACCATTTCCCGCTCTTCGCCATCATGCTCAGGGCGAAGGATCCCCGGCGGCTTCCAGGTAAGCAACTATAACCGATTCTTGGCCATTGACAGCTGGACAATGACAAACATTCCTTCCTCCTTCTGTCATGTCAGGTGGAATTTATTTCGTGTTCAAACCATCAACAAAGGAAGATCCCATTCCTATAATTGAGGTATATGATAATCATTAATCTGGGGTGCAAACTAGTTCTTGATCGATTGACACCCTCGTAACACAGAACCAAGCGGTGCCGTTCTCGAGCATTTTCTTCCAATACAGTCAGTAGTGTACTCTTTATTTGCGACTACTTTCCACTGTCCTCCCTTCTTGAACTAACTCCGAGTCTGTTCCGCAGTCCAATTGTGGTCCCGACTTGCAACCCACTATAATCCTCTCCGACTGCTCAAGTGCGTTTTCGCTGGAGAATTTCTAGCTCCGATACCACGGTACGAGATGCGGTACAGCAAGACGAGATTCTCGCCTCTAGAGTGACAGGACATGTGTATGTTCCTGTTATACTAAAGTTGAGTCGTGTATTCTACTGAATGACAGAGATTATCGATACTTGTACAATTCTAGTCCACCTTGAACCCTTTTAAAAATACATGTATAAATATCCAGTATGACCAAGGGAAAGCACAGCAATGTTTGAACCAATGTTAACCATAGACGAAAAATACACAATGAGGTACTCAGTAGACGAGTGTTTTCATAGAGCATGCGCATACTAAACCTAAACAACCAACAGCCAGTTGTACCAGCCTAACTACATATGGGTTTCAGTGTACCGGTATGACAGGAACTAGGCACTCACCAAGTCTAACTGAAGCCAGACACACAGGACCGCGAGTCACTGCAGCTTTTCCCAATACATCGGGTTGGGCGGCTAGAGTGCGAAGAGCAACGGTCAACAGAGCTGGATTATTACATCTTCGCGAAAGGAATCTACCATAGTCGCCCTTGAACGACGAGTGTGATCTGTCAAATTAAATTTAATAAAGAAAGAAAGTGGTCTTATGCGATATGGGTCAACTCACGGTCTCTGATGCACCGAAACACACATAGTTTTCTCCCTACTTTAGTAGTGGGGTCTGGCATCCAAACACAACATTCTTCACCCTCTCTGAAAAAACTGTAACACCACTCTCTTGCACAAGGGTCACGGACTGTTATGGTCGTCACAGTCATCGAATTCATGAAATGCGTGAAAAAGGCGGGGAGAAAGGGATTGTGCGGAGGGCACGAGAGAGGTGAGGGATGGCTGGAAGGAACGCTCCAAATCAGCTGCCCTCTTTATACTCGTGAGGAAATATGTTAAAGAGTGGATCAGATCTGGGTAGTGTGACTGAAAATTCAACTCCGGTGATAGGTCCCGTCTCCTTGGGAAAAGATATATTTGAAGATCGAAGCACTAGAGGGTAATTTGAACGAATCTTAGGATCTGTTGTTACATTATCAAAAGTCTTTAAGATGACCGAGACCTATGCAGTCAAAAGTAACATACACGGGAGGTCAACAGAAAAACTGATTACAGAAATTTCTTTCACTAGCGTCGATTTCGAAGCTTAGGCTTCTTTGATCCTTCTTGCTCCGGGTAGATAGTTTTCGTCCTGGGTCGAGCTGGCGCTCAGACTCTACCGAACGCAGCAGTGAGAGTGTAAGAACATTCTCTATGAAAACACATGGGGCACGCGTGGTTGTCAAAGTTTAGGAAACATTCCGTTTGAAGATGGTTGGGATCATCGATGTATCGGGGATGTAAGAATTTGGATTACTTCGATTTGTCTCGTCCGTATTCGAAGGTCAATCTCCTGAGAATCTCGCAAGTGGAATCACATAAGAATTGAGTGTTCGCTTTGATGGAGACATTGAGAGGTATTCTGAAGGCCAGTCATTTGACACGCCGGATGGTTGACAGAACCTAGAGAAAGCTTCAGGAAGCCAAGACCGATGTCGTACATGACTAAAAGCTGTAAGTACCAAGATCAATCAGATATCAAGGAAAGAACGTAAAAGATATCATCAATCTTTTGATCAGCGGGGGTATAGCTCAGCTGGGAGAGCAGCAGACTGAAGTTAGCACTTATTCTGAAGGTCCCGCGTTCGATCCGCGGTACCCCCATAAAGGCGTAGCGTAGCTTTAGAGATCTTTTTGGCCTCCGCTGAAATAACTTTTTATTACCATACATCCATTCCATAGTTCAGTTACGGTTTCAATTAGTACAGTATATCATACCGCCCGAACCGGCCTTAGCTCTCTTTCCAATGATCCCACCCAAGCCTTCTTGATATTCTCTTCCATCCCTAAGCCGACTTGTACCAATCCATTCAATACCGGCCCTCTTACACTCTCGTGTCCCGGTCCGGTCACCCCTCTCAACTCCGAATCCACTTTACCATCCGCGACCGCCAATGCTGCGATCGCCACTGGCATCCCAACTGTTCGAGCCATCGCCGAATACCTCTCGTTCCCAAACGCTATCAACGACGACGTATGTATCTCTTCCGCGTCCGTCGTCTCTGCCCCACTGTTTTTATCTCTGGCAATGACTTCGTGCGACATGACAACCATATCCCTCTCGTGTGGTGCATATTTCAGCTTGTGGGCCAACAACAAAGTAAACATGTCCAGCGGCGTCATCGGTTCCTTGGGGAGCGGAGGTAACCCTGCTCCCCCGGTACTTGTCGACTCATTGAACAGCCATGATAATGCCTGTGCGTTCGTGTCGCCTTCAGCAACCTGCGAATAAGCTGGGAAGGAGCTCAGGTCGACGTGTTCCGCTTCGGGACGTAGCTCGTGGCGAAGGATCTGTGAACGAGCAACGAGCTCGTGCCAGGACCGCAGTTCTTTTATTGTCCTGCTGAGCTCGAGGAGACCTAGGGTGTTGAAGAAGTGCATGAGCGAGGAAAACCCCTTGTACCTGCTCTCTAGATTAGCACATACCCACAAGACGCCACAAAAGGGACATCACGATACAGTTCTTACCTTAGGGTACCCCTAAGCAAGGTCCTCAAACTTCCAATATCCCCGAGTTCATACATCGCTGCATAAGGGAAACTGTCTCTGTTGGGCAGTCCCTCTAGCGCTATTGTCGGTGATATCGGAACGTCCTCAAAATAAGACGACAACAACTTGTTACCGGGAATTTCGTATTCCTATCAAAAGGACAAGAAAGTGAGTAATCATCTCATACCGCATGCTTCAAAAGAGTTTCAGTTGAGGGTGACTCTCACCTTGCCTCTCAATTTGAACCTAGCGGCATTCAACGCGGCCGTCAACACCCCCCTCGGACTCCAGCTGAACTTGTACCGCAGCGGACCCATATTGTCCAAGCCTATGTCAGGGGCCGGTAGACCTCCGCAAAATGAAGTAAAGGAAACGATCTGCTTGTTCTGTGCTTCTAGGTTCCTGATCAGAGAGATGGCAGAGCAGTGGTCGATGCCAGGGTCGAGGCCAATTTCATTGAGAAGGAGGACGTCTGAAGAGTGTGCCCTGTTCAATTATTAATAGAAAATAACGCGTTTTAATCAACCAGCAAAAAAGGGTACAGAAAAAAAAAACGGCAACATGGCTCAGTGCCTCTAAGATTTGGCAACAAAGTTCTTATGTTCGGCTTAGCAGGAATCGGAAACTCTAACTCACCGATCATGCAATTTTCTCATGTCATCTGAGATATAGGAAGCAGTGACTAGATGCTTTTTCTGTTGAATACACAATTCGGCTATGCCAGCATGCAGGGGAACAGGAAGAAGACTATGAATGGATCCAATTCAGAAATTGGGGTGCCATGAACAAGGTTCATGTTGGTATGTCAGTATTCAGTTCGGACAGCAGGGAACTGCACACAGGGCTTCACCTGATAACAACATCTGCTTCTCTAATTAAGCTTTCGACAACTTCCTTATTCCCCACATTGATCTCTTTGTATTCCACTTGATTGCTTGTAGGTGAGGCAAGCACAGTTCGCCGGAGATTGTTGAGCTCATGACCGGAATTACTAGCTAAGAGAAACGCGGCAGAAGGCATGTCAGAGCTGTGTACATGGAATCATGGAATGGTACATGAGAATAAGGAGACAGCAACAGGGTGCAAGAGAATAAAAACAGATTTAAGAATCAGGAGATGTAAGATTATAGAATGCGAGAATAACGCAACATTAGAGAATGCGCCACAGGTTTCCGTTCCAACTATTGATCCGGAGATGGAGGTCACGAAGGTAATGAAAGATAATGAAAGACAAGACACCAGATGGAAGACACATGAAGAGGAGAAAGAGAGGACTCACCAACAACCAATTTCACATCAGGCCTCTCAGCGATCTTTTCTACTGCAGGCCCTGCGACCATCCCACTTCCCAGAAGTAGTATACGTTTGGTCCTTAACACGCCTTGGTCTCGACTCGGTGTTCTGTAAGGGTCTGGTAGAACCCCTGTTGCAGGAGATGCATCCAAATTCGGGAACGAGGCAGAGGCAGGCGGACCAGAGTGTTGTTCCTTCCTCCATGTGTCTACCCTCTCTCCCAACCACTCATGCTTCTCGACTAACTTGCCGCTTTGTGTAATTGTTGCCCTTCTCAATGCTCTCTCCTCTTCACTCTGCGCATTCCAATTAGTAGAACCTTTCAAAGAGCACACATTCATTCAATACCCTTACAACGACCAAAACAGGGTAAGCATATCAAGAACTCACTGTACCGATCCAAAACTCCTTCCAAATACCTCATCACTCCATCCGAGAAATGCACCGACGCATCCAGCGGAATACTCGCCGGTAAGATATCAACCGCCATCATCTGTACCTCTGAGCCCGGTAACTCATTGTGCCTATACCCGTTCCCATCCCCATTTCCTCCCCCAACCTTAATTTTATAGAACGGATCCGACAACGTCGAGGCCCTTTCCAAAAATTCCAACCCTCCCTCAGGATCACAGCTGATATCACCAATGTTCCTTCCTCGTGCCCACTTGGGCGGTTTGCTTCCATGAATATCATCATCAGAAGAGTTCTTGGTATCGGTATCGATAAGCCGAGCGAGTTCGAGGGCATGCGTCAGTTGGCCATTCGTCATCAAGCGGGGATAGCCAGGTGCCCAGCCGGTGCCATTCAGAAAAAGAGTGAGGTAGGGATAGATCTATAGAAGATAGATAGAACACGAAAGTGATGTCAGTAACCTTCAACAAAATTAGGGTAGTGATAAGGGAAGCAGCGGGGGGAATAAGATAATTGTGAATGGCGCAATACTGTCGAATCGAATCTTTCTAGAGGCTCGTGTCGTGCGTTGAGCAATTTGAACAAAAACGGGAAGCGGAAGAAGGATTTATGATGAAGAGCGTCACCCGCACAAAACGTAATTGGGAAATTCTCAAAAAAAAAAGAGAAAAAAAAGAGGGAGACATACACGTTCACCAAAGACACTTTTATACATTTCAGGGTTAGCGTAATAGTCATCTCTGTCGTATTGCGTCGACCCATCGGACGTGGGATTGCATCTGATCAGGTACTCTGCGGGTTTGGCGTGGACCAGATAAATCTATAGAAGAACATCAGTACGTGACGCAAAGGGACACAACAAGGAGAGATGGTGTGAGACCAAGGAGCAAGCAATGAACGATAGCGGGTGGAAGGTGTTGGAAACAGATAGAAAAACAAGTGTGAGATGGGATTGGTGAGTATGGAAGACAAATATCTCGCGATGACGCAATGACGGAACAAAGAACGTGTAAAAAGATACATCTCGAGATCCTAGAAGGAGTCCTTTAGAAGCATAGTGAACTAACCTTGCGTAGATCTGTACCTATTATGACGAAGAGGGTCAAAGATAAAAAGATACAATGATAGAAGACCGATGAATGAACGAACCGGAGTTCATGACCAACGCAGGCAGGTCCTTTGCTGCTACGGGAACTATCGGAAGCTCTTCAAGCATCGATAAGCAGCCTTGAGAGACGTTACCAGTTCTAGATCCGAGGGATGAATAGGCCTTAGTTGAGAATGTGCAAGACAATGAGTAGATTTACCCAGTCAAACCAATGACAAAAGGTCCCAAAGCTTTCGGGGTGCCTTCATTGGCAATGCGGCTTCCGATAGCACGTAGAGAAGCACGCAATGCGGACAAAGAAGGAAGCGTGTGTGGACGGGGTGTATACTAAGTGATGAACGCGGTAAGCTGACAGGAACGCGTGTATATCAAAAGGGTACGCACAAGGAAAGGCGACGCGACACCGAGCTCCAAATGAGAATGGGCCATTGAGGAAAGCGACTCGAGTACGCCAGCAACTGATCATCAAAAATAAGGACGTGTCTCCCTTAGATACTGACACGTTTTGTACATACCTCCAGCGAACCATCCGAATCCTACAGTCCTCTTCTGGTCCTCTTCGTTTGTTAATAGTTCATAGTCAATGAGTGTGGGGAGAAGACTAGCGTTCGTGCCATCGCCATCATTAGCCAGAAAAGCGGATAACAGCGGCATATTATATGCTTGGCCCTTAGCGGTATGTGAGAACATCATGTATGTTCGAGCACATTGCGAATCGGACACCGACGAAGGCAATGGATTCATAAGGAGCTCATTCAAAGGAGGCTCTTTGATTCCCAAGACAACATGGGCTGTTTGGAGGTTGGGTCGGATTGTTGCACCGGCCTATAGGTAAAGCTTATTCAGTCAAGTGTTTTGGAAAACGAAATAAGGATGGAATTGACGACAAGGTAAGTTAATGAGTACAAGGGAAATGCCTTGGAAATTCCTTTTTCAACGTGCTGGCGTCCACGACGAGTAGCTGGCAAAGCAGATTGGGTCGGCGGGGGAGCTGCCATGATCACACACCTTTTCATACTCCTTGTCGGTGAAGATCCTTCTGTCACACTGCTCAACATGCACTTGGATGCCCCTACGCTCAACCAGTTCATTCACCGCGTCCGGTGTAAGCGGCGCACGCCTCTCCCAGATACGCGAGGGGTCTTCTCGACGTATGCCGACTGTCAGAGGAAGGCGTGCTCGAGTAATGCTCTTCAGATTCTTGGTAGGTTTCATGTCGTGACGATGTCGTGGTCAAGGTCCGAGGTCAACCTGGGTCAATGAGAACGGTATGAAAGAATGAATGGGCCAGAATGACGGGAAT